AAAAAAAGATTTTCACAGCCTAGGAAACTCTAGAAAGGGTCATTATGAGTTGGAATGGACTCAGTGACAGTGGCCTTGGTTCTTGCTGATACTGCTCCATGGCTGTTGTTTATTTGAGGAGTTAATGGTGAGCTTGAAATGAATGAAGAATTAGCTGTGATAAAAAGATTAGATGGACAAATTTACAAAGTTCATGAAAATGTTAAAATGCTATAGTTATTCATAGTTTTATTCAATAGCAGATACTCAGATATTTGTATCCCTCATGTTTTGCTTAACCAGTAGTGTCAGTGATGAACTTCATTTGGTCTCATGGATGTAGCTGTCATTAGTTTTCGAATTTTATCAGAAATAGAAACGGAATGTCTTGACTTGCCTTACCACATGGCAGTGTGTTGGCTTAGCAGTGGTAACATTTTATGGTGACATTTTGAGTTCAGAAGCGGGCCTAACATTTTTCTGAATAAGAATCACCGTGTACCACTGTGATTGAACATTGAATATTGTTTATCTATTTGTGTGTGCTGCAGACTTGATAACATTTTAAAGTAAATTTAACCTAAAATTACAAGGCAGAACAGTGCCTTACAAAATTTAAACTACAGGAAAGTAATTTAGAAGACATTGTTTGAATTATAGAAATGACAAAAAGTTATTTTTAAAAGTACTGTGAAAAGCTAACACAGGAAGCTCTTTATCCCCACACAGTACTTGAGCACAGATTATAGATCCCGTAGCTTTTTTTTAGTAAAGTGGATCTCTCTATTTCAAAATCCATTTAACTCTACGATTGTTTTCATTGAGTGATTCATATGCAGTAATAACATGCTCAAAATAAAATATCAAGAGAAGAATATAGTAGAAATCTCTAAATGCCTTCAAACATTTAATATGTTCAATGGAATCATATCAGAATTTGGCAGTACCAGTCTTCCTGGAGACATTTTCATAGATAAAATGTGTCAAATCTCATTACAGATCAGTATTAGCAGATTAATATTTAGAATCATTTGATGATCCCTAAACTAAAAAGCAAGGTGCTCTTGTGACGTAGTGAGCTATGAGTTTGGCTACAACCACAAGGTCAGCACTTTGAATCACCAGGTGCTCTGAGAAAGATGGCGCTTTCTGCTCCCATAAAGATTCACAGCCCAGAAACTCACAGAAGCGATTCTGTTCTGTCCTATTTAAGTAGGTCTTTCTGAGTAGGAATCGACCTGGTGGCAATGGGTTTGGTTCTGGATTTGGAAACTAAAGCCAAACTACTTGTTGTCTAATCGTTTCTGACCCATAGCAATGCTCTAGGATAGATTAGAACTCTGTTCCGTAGGATTTCTTAGCCTTTAATCTTTACAGAAGCAGACTGCTACATCTTTCTCCCACAGAACTACTGGTAAGTTAGAACCACTAAGCTTTTGATTAGCAGCCAGTGCTTGCTTAACCACCGTGCCCCAGGGCTTTTAATCTATTCAATGAAAGGAACTTTGATTTTGAACCTCAATGAATCATAATGTCATCCTTCCCTCTGAAGAATTCCATGCTTTACAAAAAATTGAATTCAATTATTTATTACCTTTGAATTTTGTCAATAAAAGATTTATAGGAATTTATTTTCTTTCTTGTTTTATGTACATCTATATAATATCCTTGAACTTGCTTTTGGGCTCCTAAAGTCTGAAATGTTTACTGTATAGCTCTTAGTATGAAAAGTTTGCTCACTCCTGGATTAAAGGGTAAATGTTTGATTTGGTCTTACCTAGTGAAATATGACTATTATCTTTTAAGGTGTCAGCAGATTTTTTTTAACCCTGTGAAGGAAAACATTAAAGCATTCTTAATATATTTTGAAAAATTCTTAGTGAAAACATTTTTAATAAGTTTTTTTACTACTTTGTTTTTTACATAAATAGTATTCAGATATTTGCTACTTCAGAGTTCAATAAAATTTAATAATTTTATATAAATTCAATTAAAAATAAACAGATTAATTATTCAACTTTCATTTCATAAAAGTTTTTCAAATCGTAATTTTTTTCTAGAATAGTACTAGGAATAGTACTTTCCTACCTAGAATAGTACTTCTATTTGCAAAATTAGATGCCTAAGATAACTTTATAAAACAGGCATTGGCATAACTGGATAAATGCTATCCTTTGAAAATACTCTCTCTGTCTCAGCCCTAAATAAGCAGGCAACTCAGCGAAGTGTTTAGTCTGAGACCCTAGTATTTCTTTCCCTTTCAAGCCCTTCTCCAAGCTAGAATGCTATCCATTTTCAAAAAGTTTTCTTTATTCATGTTCAGCATCTTGAAGTATGACTAATTTTATAAAATGTAACATCTGTTTTATTTAAAATATTTTTTTTATCAATGGATAAAGAGATTTGTTATTAATTTTATAAATTAATCTGGATTGGCTGTTAAAAGAATTGAGGAATAAAAGAAAATGATGTTTCTAAAACAAAAAAATCTTTTCAAATTTTATATTCTGTACAGTCTATTGCTTTCCTAAATGATATGTGTATAGTACATAGACAAACATAAGAACTTTATATGGGTAAGGATTAAGATCATTTTTGTTGTCACACATTTGTTTAGAAAAATCCTAAGATAAGAATGTTTTATTGTAGCTGTTTAATTTATAGCATATGACACATTTTTCCTATATATAAATATCCTGGATTTAAATTTTATTTTCTAGATGAAGCATTGGATGATTTAAAGTCACAGAAGAAAAAGATAGTAAGTTAACATGTATTTAAAATTAATTTATGTAGGATTTTAATAAGAACTGACAAATGGTTATATGTTACAAGTTAAATGACACTCTGTAAGAACAAGTATGCTTTTGAATAACATTTTAATGATGAACTGAAATCATGAATATTTTTTCTAGTAATGATTGACAGGAAAAAGCAGCTGCACTTTTGAGAAAGTCTGAAGGGCTATGGTAGAAAGTAAGAGTAAGTAGATGAATCTTACCTGGAGGATGTAATGAGACTGAGGGTTAAAGGGAAGGGCCCAGATTGCGTATCAGAGCCTCCCAAAGGACCAAACGTATATGTATGCTAGGACTCAGTTTTCCTTGACACCATAAGGCCAGGGGGTAGAAATCCAGAAGATGGGTTATCAAAAGCAAATTCAGTATGAAAAAGCTGGAGAATGGGGCCTGCAGAAGAGGGATTTCTTGTGGGGCCTGTGGATATGTGGGAGGGAGGGACATGAGTAAGAATCCTAAATGTTAGAAGTTGCAATAGAATCTTTAATCAGTGAATTAAATTGGTTTGTGACATATTAATTTGTGATTTTTAAAAAATTTGGTTTTTGAAATGTGAAAAACAATAGCTGGTTGAAAGTCATAATCATGTAATAGAAACATTTAATGAAATGTAATGAGGTGTCTATAAGATATAGTAAATAGCAATTGCGTATGAAATTAATAAAAATTTATGAAGGTTAAGATTAACATTAAAGGCTATTCTGCTGTGAATTGTTCTGTAAACGACCTTGATCTTGAAGTGTTTTAAGTTCCATAAAAGTGAAGAACTTTTACATCCGGAATAATTCCTCATCTTTTGTATACTTACTTAGTGTTCTGATAGGTATTTATCAAAATCACTTTGTCAATTTTGATCCTCCCAAATTGATTTAGCAATATGCCCTATATATCATTATTGTATTTTTGGTATTCTGTACTTTATGGAATAGCTAGAAATTCAAAGCAAAGAAATACTGATAACATAGAAACTGAGAGGGAGAGAAAAGAAAAAAGTAAAGTTGTGATATGATGGCTCAGTTTGCTGTTGAGAGAAAAGAAGGGCTGAAGATGGTGATCAGAGGCAAACCCTACTTAAAATGGAGACGTCGTTACTCAAGTAGAAAAGATCAGAAGGAAGACAAAAGAAATTATAAGACCCAGAAGGTTTTAAGTGATGAAAAGTAGACCTGTTATTGGCATTACGTGACTATAAAACAAAATCTTGAAAACAATAGAGTAACTGTTAAACAAGCAAAAAAAAAAAAAGCAGAAAAACAAGCCCTCCTCTGCCATCAAATCATAGTAACGGAGTACAACCGCTCCTTAGGGGTTCTGAGATTGTATATCTTGATGGGAGTAGATAGCCCTATTTTCCTTATATGGAGCAGCTGGTAGGTTTGAACCACTGAGCTTGTGGTTAGTAGTTCAAAGTGCCACAGCACCACCAGAGTAAGCGTAGTCTTGGAAAGTTCTGTGAACGAGCCAGCTAAGCTGTTTACTTCTTTAATAGCCCTTGAAGGAATCACAACATAATAAAAGATGCTCTATCTAATTTGACAGTTGGAAAAATCAGTTCAGGATTCAGTAATTCTGTACATCTAAATGGTTCAGGCATCAATATTACTGAATGGTTCAGTATACTGTTTTTTTTGTACAATGATAAAAGAAAAACAAATCTACTCTAACTCACTTTATTAGGGAACACAATTAACATTGACTTGAATGTTGGGTGTGATACTTTTGCCTCTGGAAACACGTTTTGTCTGTATTGCTGAAGCTTTAGCAGGGCTGTTTTGTTTAGAACAGTAAGTGTGATGGGTGTACAATGTACAAGGAGTACAATCCTAGCTAATAATTGTGCTGGTATTATCACATGCTGTTGCATCATTTCCTGACTCATAGAGACTGTCTGACCCAGTAGAACTATCACATAGATTTTCCTAGACTAGGTCCTCTTCCTTCTCCTTAAGTGGATATAATTAGTTAATACAAGATGGATTCTCAGGTCCTTGATGGAGTAATGGTTACAGTCTCGGAAGCTCACAAAGGCGTTAGTTCTACCATGTCCTATAAAGTCACTATGAATTGGCATACACTCAGTGGCACGGTATTTGCTTCTTGTTTTCTCCCATGAGTCCTTGGTGGGTTCAAACCACCGACCTTTGGATTAGCAGCCAAGTGTTTAACCATTGCATCACCAGGGCTTAAAGATGAGGCTTTATTTCGAGTGGAAGCTAAATGGAATCAAAACTGATTTTGTTCAGTAATGCTTAGGTCTAAACTTCATAGCTTTTATTGCTGAAATGTTTATAGGAGGTAGTAGCTTTGTTCCTAATCTAAAATGGTCCAACCTGTACCTTAGTGGCACAGCTGTTAAGTTCTTGGCTTCTAACTGAAAGGTTGGCTGCTTGAACCACCAGCTGCTTTGTGTCAGAAAGATGTGGCAGTCTCCTTTCAGAATGCTTGTGGTTTGCAGTTCATGTCATGGAGTTGGCGCTGACTTACAGCAGCCCTGTCTGTGTAAAACTGAAAGAAATGGTGCCAGTCCTACATAATCCTTAGGCTTCATTGCTAGGTTTAAGCCCCCTGTTGCAGCCTTCATGTCAAATCATCTTGTTGAGCGCTGACTCCACTACCAAGCACAGTGTCCTTTTCCAGAGACTCGTTTCTTCTGATAACATGTCAGAAGTACATTCATCTTGCCACCCTTGCTTCTGAGGAGCATCCTGGCTGTACAGACCAGCCTTTGAAATCCTAGGGTGGTGGTGGGGGGCAGTTCTACTCTATCCTATATAGTCTCTATGAGTCAGAATCAACTACTATCTGCCCATTTCCTCCATCTCACAAGCCACATTTTAAATGCTCATTTTTCACATCGCCTAGTGTGACTACTGTCCTTCATACATATAGACTATTTCTATCCTTCATACATATAGACTATTTCTATCCTTACAGAAAGCTCTATTGGACAACACTGTTCTAATGCATACAAATCTAGTTTGTAGTGATCAGAAATTTAGCTCTTTTGAGTTGATACTTTATGTAGATTGTGTTGTTTTGGGAATATATTCTATTCCGTCCTTTCCCCCTATTTGCAATTCACCTTCTCATAATTATAAAGTGGTATCACAAGCATTTCCTTTATATCAGAAAATTAACTTTTTGGGAATTTTTCATAGTTTTAGAAACAATTGGGAGAATATATTAGTTTTACTAAATTAAGGCTAATGATTCATTCATTGAAGTAAACCCTTAGCTTTTTAAATGTTTAATGATAAATCTATTAGCTGCTATTGGGGCAGAATATTTGAAACAGTATTTTTAACTTGCTAAATGTGGTCTGAGTTATACTTAAAAGCAAATGTCATTTGGAATAAATATGACATTTATTGAATCTAAGTGGTTACCAGTGGTCACCAAGAAGTGAAAGATTCTGTTCTCGTTTTTGCAAAAACATTTTATTCACATTGCACATTAGCTATTTGTCATAACTATGACTGTCTTGTACTAAAGTTAAACTTTTTCTCATGTTGGACCATAACTGCTAAAATGATACTTTCCTAGTGATTACTTTTTAAATTAAACCCATGTATTAAGCTATAAAGGGACTTAAGTACATTGTAAATAATACTATAATAAGGAAGTGCTTTAATTGCATTCCCTAGTGTGAGCATAGAACTCAGTAAAATTTTTACTTAAAGTCTTACTATGTTCAGTTCTTTTTCCTCTAAAGTTGGGTCTGAGTATAAAAAGGGGGGAGCTTTAACCTTTAAAACCATTTGAGTAAATTCCGTGGCTGTTTCCCCAGTTAGTGAGTTTTCACTGCATTTTCAACAAGCTAATTGCTTCTGCTAATAAATAATCTAAAATCGATGCTGACAGCAGTTAATTGGCACAGAGATTTTATTTTGTAAAGCTCTTGGCTAACGACCTTCTTTAAATTAATAGCATTAAGTGCTATGAGGAAATAAATCTGAGGAATTGCCTGTCATTTGCTTGTCATGTCTAATAACTTCCAATAATGATAGCTGATAGATTTTTGCACATTCCATTATTGAAGTTGGTGCATGTAATTATTCTCCTCATTATATGTAAACAATTAGCAATATTTGGTATTTCCTTGCAGTAAAGCTGTTAAATACAAGTAACATATTAGAGGTTAGAAGGCATTTTAAAATCTGGATTTTAATTATTTAAATATAGGAAGTCCTTAATTCTATCTAGACATATCATGTGCTGTGTATTTTAAGCCTTGCACTTAGGTATTTTTGAATAGGACTTATGAAAAGAAGTACTGTGTGTGTTTTAAAAATGTGACAATTTTTTTGTTTGTAGCTTGAAGAAGTCATGGAAAAAGAAACTTATAAGACTGCTAAATTAATTCTTGAAAGGTTTGATCCAGACTCAAAGAAAGCAAAGGTAAGGTTCTGATATTGCTACTATTTTATTATACATTGCACATTGTAATTGGTCATTGTAATAACATTATTATAATTGACAGGAGTTTGAGCCGCCATCTGCTGGAGCAGCTGTAACTGCAAGACCTGGACAAGGTAAATAACTTTGTAGAAACTGCTGCTGCTGTTGGAAAGATCCATATTTACCCAAGTGAGTTCAAAAGTGTGATGGAAGTGTGTCAGAACGATGTAAATGCTTTTCTGATAATTGAAATATGGTCATTTGGCACATCTGAGTTACAGTGGATGATAATAATTGTATTTGATTTTGATATTATGGGAATAGGTTGCTATGTAAGGATGTTGAATATCTGTTAAGGTGAAATAGTTAATTTTAATCTTTTGAAACGTAAGTAATTCATTGTACCACTAATATTTTGCAAGTCTCTTTCTCTTAAATAATCTATTGGAACATCTATTATTATGAAAATCTTTATATTTTTATTATTATTGAGGAATTCAATGAAGATTTTTGTCAAATGTGAAGTTTCTTTAAAAAATTTTCTTTTAAATTTAAAATTAAAATTTACAGTATTTGGAGAAATAATTCAGAAATAAAGAAAACTGAATTAATGCTATATAATAATGATAACTCTCTTTTTGAGGTTGCATTATTAATAGAGGCTGTCACTATCATTATTAAATATTATAAATTTTAAAAATTAGTATTTTAAATGGCTATATAAAGTGTTCTCAAGATTAGCATATGAAAAGATATTTGTGCTTGAATGGTTTTCCCTCTTTGTTCCTTAGGATCTAACATAGTAAGGTTTGTTAAAATGTACAATATGTTTATTTGTTTGTTTTTTCCAAAAAATTAACTTCCATTTTTCTAAAACACCAAAGTTGTAGCTTGGTTTATAAAGTGAGGGTGTCAAGTAAGACTGAAAAACACAGTTCTCCTTTGGTATCTGTGGGGATTGGTTCCAGGGATCTGGTCCCAGAGATACTAAAGTCCAGAGATGCTCAAGTCCCTTACATAAAATGGTTCAGTACCTGCATGCAACCTAGCACATCCTCCTGCATGCTTTAAATCGTCTCTAGATTACTTATAATACCTACAACAATGTGAATGTGGTGTGGCTATCCCTGTATACCACCCCTCACTCCCATGAATGTTTCTGTTTATAGTTGATTAAATCTACAGATGTGGAGCCCAATGATATGGAGGACTGACTGAGAATGCTTTTATAAATATCCTGATAGACTGTGTCTCTCTCCCACTGTCCCCATCATCCACAAATAGGATTTTAGTTTATAGAGAGATTCTAGAGCAGTGTAGATAACCCTGCACATCCCGCTAATACACCTAATACATTAGAAATAAAAACCTTAGACTCAAACATAGAGATGAGAATTATGGTTATCTCCCTAAAGAAAAGAGGGCTTTTCTTTCCTTTTCTGGCATTGGGAAGTCTGCGATGATGATACCATTCAGCTTTACTGAGTACGTGGCCACTGTGATGTACCAAGCAATGCAATATCTTAACGAATTTTGTTTCTTCTTTAAAGTCTTGCTTTCTTCCCATGTGCATATTAACCTTTTTCTTTCAAGCCAAGAACGACACATTTTATTGGAAATTTTTTGGAATGGAATAGATTAATTTTGTAGTAAATATCATGGTGTCTTTCCATTTACCTTTCACAACTTTTATCAAGTATCTCCAGAAAAGCCATTTAAAAAAACTTTTTATTGTGAATTAAGTGAAAATTTAGAGAGCAACCGATCGGTTTTACATTCAACTGTTCATACATGTTTTGTTTCAACTTATCCATTGCAATCCCCTCAGCATACCATCACTTATCCCATTTCCTCTCTGTGTCTCTTGTTTCTACCCGTCCTTCATTCCTAACAGTCTGTACTTTGTCTTGGGTAAATTCTACCCTTTTGATCTTAAATGGTTGATTATTCTACCACAGGGATGAGTTCAGTTCCAGTCCTGAAGAGTGATTCAAGGCCTTAGTCTTAGGTGTTCTGCCAGTTTCTACCCAATTTGTAAGGCCGGTCTCTCTTATAATTTTGGCTTTTGCTTCATAGTTTCTTCCAACTCTCTCCAGGAAGCCCTAATGAGGTCCTTTTCAGAGCAGTCGGTAGTGGTAGCCAGACACCATGTAGTTCTTTTGGTCTTGAGGTTGTCGAGGCTGGTGTTTGTGTGGCCCATCAGTTCATTGGACTAAATGTTTCCATGTGTTTTTAAATTTGCATTGGTCAAACCAATATTTGCATCTTAAGTGGCTACTCATATGAGTTTTTAAGGCCACCAAAGTAGGATCTAGAACATTGTCTTCGTGAACTGTGTTATGCCAAATGATATTGGTGTCTCTAAGTCTGATCCCCCCAGGCTAAGTGACTCATTCCCTCTAGGAATTTGCTTGTCTAAAAAGCATTCATAACTTTGCCTCCTACATCTTTTACCACATTCAAGGATATCTTTGTAGCAAAGATAAATATATATATACAAATACACTCTGTCAAATCTGTATGTTTGTGGCTTTATGTACTCCCACGTTCTCTCTGACAGCTGTTTAGCCTGCATATTTATCCAAACATCCACTTGCACACCGCCATTACTACAGCATTGTGTATATAACAGCCATTGCCTCTGTTGTCTTCCAGTGTCTTGTCCTGCTTTCATCATTTTTGCTGACCCACTAGTTAGTGTGTGTTGCGTTTTCTCCCTAAACTGACACTTATCTACCCTCTAGTCTGTTACCATCCCATCCCTTCCCTCCTTTCCTCTCCTCCTACTGTTAACCATCAAAGAATGTTTCTTTTAGTGTATCAACCTTAGACAAACATTTTTGAAAATAGTTTATTTACAGTTAACAGAACTAAAATAACCTGCCTTTTCTTGATACTGCTATCACTTCCATAGATTTGTTGTTACCAACAGTCTGCTAATGGAGGGGGTTATTTTGCCATAGACTGTTCACATTGGTCCTGTTTTGATTCAATTCTTGCATAGATACTGTGATTTTCTTTTTATCTCATTGCTCATTCCCAGACACTCTTCCAAACCCAGAAAGGCTCTGATTGATGACTGAGAGAGAGAAATGCGAAAGGAATTTAGATACCAAGTCGGGATGGATAGGAGAGGAATGGCTATAGAAGAAATGATTGGGGTATAAGATAAATGTTAGTCTGTTCTTTGCTCCTTTTGTTTGTATTAACCATCTAAGGTATTTAAATATCCATATGTCTTGAAATTTATCTTTGCCACCTAACTAGCAGTCTGAGACATCAGGGTTCTTAAGATTACTCAGACTATGTAAGCTTCATTAATATTATAGCTGAATATCTAACTACCTAAAATATGAAAACATCATTGTGTCTGTATCACATTGATCTTATAAACACACAGTTAAGGAATGGACTTTTGAAAATGATTGGTTGATATGACCTCCCAAGACATCTGAGATCATACATAGGCTTTTTTGCAGAAAACTCTTAGGGTTAGTTTTCAAAATCTCTTCTTTTCTGTTCGTATTAGGAAAAATAACCGACCTATGATCTCTTGTACTAATGTTGCTATTTTAAAGTTCTATTACTATTTCGGCAATATAAGTTATTTTAAGAATCCTAAGTTACTTTTTTTTAGAAAATTATGAAACTCAAATACATTTTTTTCCTTTTGATACTATGTCTAATTATAGAAGAAAAAAATTCCTGGTCTCAGTGTTTGATTCCCGAGGCACTGCTTTTAGATAGTCTTTTAGAGGGAAGTGCTGTTGAAGGAAGGCCTGCAAGGCTGGTGATTCAATCCCATCCAGTGTGCTCTGCAGAAGAAAGCCCTGGGGTGTGCGCCCCTAAAAGCTGTAAGCTAGAAGCCCTGTGCGCAACCCTGCTCTGTCACATGGGCTTGATATGAGTTGAAGTCAATGTCACAACTCCAGTAACAATGTTTAACTATCATATAAATGCATTGTTCACTTAAAAATATATTTTGAACATCTTTTACATGCAGATGTTACAGGATATAAAGAATTGATGTGGTTCCTTACCTGATATAGTTTGATCTTAAGAAGTTTATAGCGGAATTTTTTCTTTTAAAAAAGATCTCTTCTGGAGTATACTATTCTAGTAGTCTTCTCTCCCCCAGATGTTTAGTAATTAATTACTATTTGTACTTTTTTAAAGTTCTAAGTTATACTCCAACTTTATTCTACTTTTTGAATTATCCTGTAAGTTTTTTTTCTTCAATCCTGTTGAATCTCTTAGATTCCTATCATTTTCATAGGTGACCTAGTTATTGATTTTATTTCTATTTGTTTCAGTTCTGTGTTGCTCTTTTCTTTTTTGAATCCAGGCTGTTTCTGAACAGATACTAGAGAAAAAAAAAATCCCAGCCCAAAACTATTGGAGGAGATATTTATGCATACATGCAGCCCTTTATAGATTTGTTCTTCAGCCTGAATCTAATTGCTGTGTGTCTATATTCTGGCTTTTGCATGGTGGCTGAACCAGAACTTTGAGCCATCTGATTGTTTAGTTGTTTTTGATATATATTATGCTGAGATGGATTCTAATTTTGAGCATATTTTCTTTGATTTGCAGAGGCTCAGCACAAATAGAAGCATCAAGCCATGTTTACGGGGCAGTTAGCTGATTTAACCTGACCTTCTTCCCCCCATTTAAGTGCACTGTGTGAAAAAAAAAATTGTTTTTGCATTTTTTCATTTTATTTTATTTTAGTTTGGGTGAAAATGTATAGAGAAAATTAGTTTTCTCCTTAATAGATGGGCTTTGAGTCTCCACTCTGCCCTCCCCCTCATTCACATTGATGTGATTTTTTTGTTCTGGGTCTTTGATGTCTGATACCTGACCCCATCGACACCTCATGAGCACACAGGCTGGCATGCTTCTTCCATGTGAACTTTGTTGCTTCTGAGCTAGATGGCTGCTTGTTTATCTTTATGCCTTTAAGACCCCAGATGCTATATCTTGTGATAGCTGGGCACTATCAGCTTTCTTCACCATGTTTGCTTATGTCCCCTTACAGAAGGGTCACCGGGAGGGGATGAGCCTGTCAGGGTGCAGTATAGCACTGATGAAACATACAACTTCCTCTAGTTCTTTAATGCTTCCTCTTCCCCCT